TAAACTGATATGATTAAAATTCTTTCTACATAACTTCTAATGTGCTGCACTTTTCACCTTTTTTTACTCTAGGTCAGTGCAGCTTTAGGTGCAGAAGTTAATCCTGAAGAAATTACATCATTAGCTGGTATGATAGATATTGGATTACCAAGGGTGACCGATAAATTAGAAGAAATAAGCAATTCGGCAACTAAAGAATTTGCTCTGCAACGTGCGCTGACGAAGATGAAAACCGAATGGAGCGAGGTTTATTTTGAATGCATCATGTACAGGTAGATAATTTAATTTATTTTGATCGTTTTCATTTCCTTTCTTTCAAATTATGCTCTTATTGTAAAAATTAAAACTCTGACTTTGTTTTTTGAGTTTTAAGAATTGGAATACTGTGTACGCAATTGAGAGATTTGAAAGTCGGTACAATTTAAAAATATTTCTAAAGTTAAGTTTCTAAATTCTTGTCAACTATCATTCATATCTAAATGGAGCAAAGAAATGGACAAAATATAATTAATTGCATATCATTCCTTGTTGAGCATTAAGATCTCTGTAACTTGAAGGTGATTGATAAATAATCATCAATCACCCTGGATTGCTAAAACACAATTTTCATTAGGTTAATTATAATTAGGTGAATGTCTGCCATAACCAGATCGATAAAAATTTATCTAAGATATGACAACCATGAAGAAACTGCTCAATTTCAAAATCTTAATTATCTGAACATTTTGTATTTTTTAAGTCTATTTTTATACCTACAATTTTACTTGTTATCCTTTCAGGAGAGGTGTAAAAATTATTGTTTAATAATAATGATAATGAAGATACCGCGTCCTAAACTAAACGTAAAGATTATCTATTTTAAATCCATTGACCAAAATAAAATAAATATCAATACATCAAAGTAAAATATCTCATCATGCATTTATTTATAAAAGTTAATAAAACTGCGTGTAGATACGCAATAGTTATATCAATCCATCATCAAAGTACTGTTAAAATACAATATTAAATTAATATCAAAAAATAGATAGATTAATCGATAAAAAGATGTCACAAAAGAAAGTTCTCGTCAATATGTATATCAATACTATTTTTTTTATTATGTGACAAAATTGAGTTCCGTGAGATTCATAAAACTCACTATGATAAATGGCCTAAATGAGTTCTTGGTTTCAATTATGCATTTTAGAAACAAAATTTTAATTATAATAATTAAAATTTTCTAATTCAAGTGTATTTACTCATTACTAGAGATACAAATTGTTCGATTTTATCGAGTTTAGAAGATATTCAAACACAATTGGATGACCATATTTTAAAAGCTCAAGCCATGAGAGGATCACCGTATATAAAAGCTCTAGGTCGCCTGGCTTATGACTGGGAAGAAAAATTAGTTAATATGCAGGACATATTAGACGCTTGGTTATTGGTATGAAATAATTACAATAGTTTCATCTTAAAACCATATCTGTATTACACTAGTTTAAAAGTAATTTATATCACAATGATGATCTACAATTAATATTTTTTATATTATTCAGTGCCAAGCCACATGGATGTATCTAGAATCTATATTCAGTTCGGAAGACATCATGAGACAAATGCCAACGGAGGCCAGAAATTTCAAACAGGTGATTAGTATTTATATGCAATGACCAATTAAATTATATAATGATATCATTTATTTTAATGTTGAAAAACTAGGTTGACAAGAGTTGGAGGGATATAATGGCAGCCACCACTAAAAATCCTCATGTATTAACTGCTACAGACTACCCAAATCTTCTAGAAATTTTAAGAAATAATAATGTAATGCTTGATGGAATACAGAAAGGTCTAAATGATTACCTCGAAAAGAAGAGATTATTTTTCCCAAGGTATACAAATTGTATTAAATTAAGTACTGTTTGATATTACCATGATGCAAATAAAAAATTTCAGAAACATTTTATAGCAGTAAAGTGTTTTTGGCAATATAAAAAGTAAATAACTTATAAAAATAATAACCGATATCAAATATTGTTGTTAGATTTTTCTTTTTATCCAATGACGAATTATTGGAAATATTGTCGGAAACAAAAGATCCCACACGTGTGCAGCCTCATCTTAAGAAATGCTTTGAAGGTATCGATAAACTAAATTTCAATGAAGAAATGGAAGTTGAAGCAATGGTTTCTGCTCAAGGAGAAATTATCAAATTAAGTGGAAAAATTATTCCAGCAGATGCTAAGGTAAGATATTTTATTGGCAAATAATAATCAAGCGTTATATATTTATCTCCGTCGGAAGATTTTTTTCTGTTTTATGCAGTCATATCCTTTCAAAGGTTCTTGTTGTTAAAATTTGTGGACCTTCATTTATAGAGTATATAGCATACAACAGAATGGAACTATTAATTAATTATTATTAAATATTGACCACTAAATGAACTTCAATGGTGTTTTTAATATAACTAAACAAATCATCACAATTGAAATATGTACTGTACATATTTTTCCGATGCAATTTATATCAAAGTTACTTGCTTCTTAAAAATACTTAGCTTTTATCAAATTTTAAATAATAAAAATGGATAGTACAAAAGCTCAAAAGTAGCAAGCAAATAGCAGAAATTTATGATAGTGATTGATAATATTATAGTAGATACAAATCTTCTCATATTCGTCTTTACTAACAGTAAATGATAAAATTTTATATTAATGCAGTATTTATATTTTACCCTCACTTAAGGGATTGGTAGAAAAATGGCTTGCCCAAGTCGAAATTCAAATGATAAATTCCCTAAAGGACGTAATGGAGGCTGCGGTATTAGCATACTCACCAGAAGAAAGAGCCGAATGGGTTTTAAAGTGGCCTGGTCAGATCGTACAAGCTGGCGATTGCATTATATGGTCAGCTGAGGTATTTACTTTTTCACTTTTTTAGTTTACATCGCAACTGAAATAATATATTATCTAAGAACAACCGATTAATAAGTTACACACTTCACGAAGATTTTAGTGCATGTATTATTTGATAAAATAATAAAAATATTTATCTTATTTTTTACATATCTGTACAGGCAAGTGAAGCTATTGAAAAAAATAGCTTGGTAGAATACGTTGAGCTTTTAGGAACACAAATAGCTGAAATAGTTGTTTTAGTGCAAGGCACCTTAACTCGCAATACTTTAGCCACTGTTGAAGCTTTAATAGTATTGGACGTGCACGGTAAAAATAGTCACATAAATTAAATTGTTTGATTTTTACTTAACTAATAATTCATATATTTTTATCAAGCTCGAGATGTGACTTGCCTTCTCCGTGACTTGCATGTGCAGTTTGTTGGAGATTTTCAATTTTTGGCACAATTCCGTTATTATTGGGATAAAGAAACCAAATTGGTTGAAACCAGAATGGTATCTACAACAGTGATGTACGGTTTTGAATATTTAGGGAATGTTGGCAGATTGGTTGTAACACCTTTAACAGATAGGTGTTTCAGGTAAAATTGAGTACGATGAAATTCTTAAAGGACTAGCTCAAGAAACATATGTTTGCATAAATTACAGGACTCTTATGGGTGCTCTGAAATTAAATTTAGGAGGAGCTCCTGAGGGTCCGGCTGGTACTGGCAAAACAGAAACGTGCAAAGACTTGGCAAAAGCTGTTGCCAAAAAGTGCGTTGTGTTTAATTGTTCGGATGGGCTTGACTATAAAGCCTTAGGAAAATTCTTCAAAGTAATGTTTACATCATTATCTTACAATTGAAAAAAATCTATTTGCAAATCACAATAATAAATAAGACCCAATTCCTTCATTAGGGTTTAGCTCAAGCTGGAGCTTGGGCATGTTTTGATGAATTCAACAGAATTGAACTAGAAGTACTTTCTGTAGTAGCCCAACAAATTTTATGCATTCAACGCGCAATCACAGCTAAGCTGGAAAAATTTGTTTTCGAAGGTACTGAATTGTTCTTGGATCCCACGTGTGCTGTGTTTATCACTATGAATCCAGGGTAAATTAAAATAAATCGCACCTAAAATTAATGCACAAGAATCCAATTATGTACATATTGTAATATTTTATTTTGATAATGTTAATACTTTATGATCTTAAAAGTATATATTTTGAAAACGAAATTCTATTCCGACAGAGCCGTGTAAATAGAATTCAAGCTTTCATTATAATCGAAAGAGATAAAATAGTTTTTAATATAAAATTTACTAACATCAATGCACAAATCATCAAGATAATAAGAATCCTATTGGCAAAAAAATTGAAGCGATCTAAAACGATAAATGAAACCACACAATATATTTTTTAATATTATTATATTGCATTCGCATTGTTCTGTTAGAACCAAATTATAACTTTCAATTTGTTTTGAAGTTGAAATGTTTTCTTCACTGTGGAAAAATGTGCTATAGGTGTAATAATAGTATTTCTAACTCAATCAAGATTAATTCAAATGTTTTTGAATATTCAGTTATGCGGGTCGTCAAGAACTACCAGATAATTTAAAAGTACTTTTCCGGACAGTGGCTATGATGGTGCCTGATTATGCAATGATTGGCGAAATAACATTATACTCTAATGGTTTTGTTCAAGCTCATAGGTTCGTAATTAATTTTACGCTAAATGAAATGAATTAGTTATTTTAGCATCGACAGCTTTGTCTCGTTTCATAGATAAAGCATTTGTTTTGCTTCATACACTGCACAATAACGAATCTTTCATTTAAAACTGGTTAATACCAAATTAGCATTATTGTTGTCATATTGTTATTTTTAGCCTATTTGTCTATCTAGTTTATCTTATGTTTAACGCATAAGTAATAGATCATATTTTTATCATTATTGATAACAAATTGTTTCACTGCAATATAAAGCTTAGCTCAAAAAATCGTCGCAACCTATAAACTTTGCTCCGAGCAACTTTCATCTCAAAATCACTATGACTACGGAATGAGAGCCGTGAAATCAGTACTTCTAGCATCTGGTGCTTTGAGACGTGCTTATCCTCACATACCAGAAGCCAAACTTGTGTTAAGAGCTATTGTGGATGTAAATTTACCCAAATTTTTGGCTCAGGATATATCTTTGTTCGAAGGAATTTATTCAGATTTGTTCCCTGGTGTTGAGCTACCTCAGGTATAATCTTTCAAGCAAAATTCATTTCATTTCCAAAATCGTTACTTATAATTTAACGTATAACTATTTCAGCCTGAACGCGAAGATTTGATAAGAACATTAGGTACTGTTTGCGAAGCTCGTAATTTACAAAATACATTTTGGTATGCAGAGAAAATGTTACAGGTAAGAAAGACTGGTAACAATTTTTCTCACACTTTAATTGATAAATTATAAACGTTCTTTATCACCATCTTCTAAACAAAATATTTTTTTGTATGCTCAAAAGCTTAATTATGTAAAATAAAAATCATGAATCAAAGTCAGAACAAATACAGTAAATTTATCGATAAAAAAATCAACTTTCTAAATAAACAGTTCTAATTCAAATCACATTTTAATAATATTTTTAACTATTTTTGCAAGAATTATTATAAAATTGTGACTATTATAAAAAAATTTATTTAGCTGTATGAGATGATTTTGGTGCGTCATGGTTTGATGATTGTGGGCGATCCTTTAGGAGGAAAAACGTGTGCTTACCAAAATTTAGCTTTGGCTTTGAAAGAAATTCAATTGCTTGAAGCAAAGAGTAAAATGAAGGAATTTCAAACAATTTTTAGGTACCAAACAAATATTTTTTTAAAGTAATGGAAAGAAAATTTAATATTTTTATTTAAACAGAATAATAAACCCAAAAGCAATTACTATGGGCCAACTGTATGGTTGTTTTGACCCAGTGTCTCATGAATGGACAGATGGAGTACTAGCAAATACTTTTCGTGAATTTGCTAACTCAACTTCTACAGAGAGAAAATGGATTTTATTTGATGGTCCTGTCGATGCTGTGTGGATTGAAAATATGAATACGGTGTTAGATGACAATAAAAAATTATGTCTTATGTCCGGAGAAATTATTCAAATGAGCGGTAAAATGAATTTGATCTTTGAGCCAGCTGATCTCGAACAAGCTTCTCCAGCCACTGTTTCGAGGTGAGTAATTTTAATAAATTACTTTATTATTTACTAAAAAATATCAAACCAATGTTTAAAACATAATATAATTTTTATATTCATAATACAGATGCGGCATGATTTTTATGGAGCCTAAAATGTTGGGATGGGTTCCGTTAAAAGACTCATTCAATAATATTTTAGCGAAGAAATTAATACCAGAACAGTTCGAAATTTCAGATGAAATCATGAATTGGCTAATACCTGCCTGTCTTAGTTTTGTTGCAAAATGTAAAACTTTTGTTCAAACTTCACCTATGCATCTATTTGTTGTAAGTAAACGTGAAATTGAACGTTTTAAAATATAAATTATTAAAAAATATGAAGTCCACAAAATTGTTTCAAAAAAATATTTGTCATTTTTAAAGTCAAAGACCATTTTTCATTGTAGTATATTTTGAAAAATTTGTAAATTGAACGTATAGTATTATATTAATCTATATAATACTTAATAATACTTAAGAATCACCTGAAGTTATCAAAAGTATTTAAGTTATATACTATTCACCAAAATAATAGCATTGAGAGAATATTAATTGTAGTGTTATTAGCAGAACCCTAACAAAACAAATTTAATATATCTAATATAATAATAATATAATAATAATATAGTATAATATAATATTTTCTATAATAATAATTTTATATTCTATTCAAAATAATAAATAGCCATCGCAATCACTTTAATTTTTAGTCCTTCACGAGACTCTACAGTTGTTTATTAGAAGATGAATCTCAAGTTGCCACAGTTTGGTTACAATGTGCTATACTTTTTAGTACAGTGTGGGGTATTGGAAGTACATTAACAGGTGATTTTAGTAATTATATATATATATATATATATACATATCATAATCTAATTGTTTACTGATTGTTTATATATAATTTAATTACAGCTGATAGCAGAGTCTTGTTCGATGACTTCTTTCGACGTCTATTAGCGAATCAAATTGAAAAATATCCTAGATGTGATTTGTTCAAATTGGCAAAAAATCAATTATTTCCAGATCGGGATATAGTATTTTCATTCCAGTTGACTAAATCAGGGCAATGGGCACCTTGGCTAGAAGGAGCATCGCCGGCTCTACCTCCAAATGCAAGAGTAAGTTATTTCCTTAGGACTGTATATATACACACTCATTTTTATGTGCTTTATGGAAAATCTATTATATTTGTATAATTAGACTATCATATATCTAGTCACAACAGCATAACAAGGGGTCTTCCTATGTGACGGCCTGTTTTTTAGGGATATTTTAGGATTTTTTTTCTACGACCAGTAAATATTTAGAGATTCAAGTTTTTTATCATTTATTAACACATATTTGGACAGTATAAATATAAAATTTCAGCTAAAAATATTCAGTCAAACTAGAGTTACAGCGCTCTGAACACCCCCGCCTCGAAAAAAAGAGCTCCCACTGTCTCCACGATTCCGGCTGATCGGCTTATCTGACAAAAAAAAAATAAACGGCGTTTTAATTTGTAGGCTTAAAAGCACGAAATGAACTACAATCAAATGAATATAAAAAAAATTGGATGTTTTATAGACATTTGAAATAAATTAGGCGTTTTTTTTTTGTTTTTTGCTATAAAAAAATCGAAGTTTTCAAAATTTTCGATTGATAATAGTTCGTTCCATGCGTTTAAATATATTGAGTGTGCCCTGTAAATTTCAAGTAATTCGGTCCAGCCGTTTCTGAGATAAAATGGAGGAAAGTTTGAAAAACACAGTTTTGAGAAAAACGCGTTTAAAGATAAAATGATCGTTGTACTACGAGTTTAAATGGCTGTAACTCAAAAACTATTTGAGATATCAATTTGAAATTTCAATATGTTATTTTTAAAGGTGTAATCTACCGAAATATGAAAGAAAAAAAATCGATTTTTTCAACTCATCACATAGGAAGATCCCCTTAACGAAGGTGTGATTGGATTAAACTGAACCAAACTCAGATAGCACCAAGAAAGGTCTCGGTGTGTTCAAGAATTTGATTTGCTCTAATTTTGCTCTCTTTTTTATATAATTTCAGTTCTTTTGAACCAAAAAGATTCTCGAATAATCTTAATAAGCCTATAAAAGATTTAAAAAAAGTCCAAGGTGGTTAGAAGGAGTTGAATTACTAACACGTACACAAGAAACATATCAATATTTCTAATATATTATATATTAAATATCAAATTATTTATATTTGAATATATAAATCAAGTTAAAGTGTCTTTATTCGACGCTGCAAGATAGTATAACACATCGAAAAATCAGTTCATTAAAACGTCCAGAGACTATTTTCATTATATCACTAGCTGTACCCGTTCACGCTTTGCTGTGATTTAGTATTAAAAAGTTAAACAAATATGTGTATTTGTTACATTTAGTTTAACGTTACTACTATCTGTTCAACAATTTACCTATTCAACAATTTATTTACGAATTTACCTATAAACTTGTTAATCAATCTATCATTTTACCGACTGACGAATTTACCTTTCAACCTATTTACCTATCAACCCGTTTCACATATCTACCAATTTACCTGTCAACCTGTTTATTCGTCTTGTTATTTGTCTACCTACCAGATTTCCTGTCTACCATTTTACATATTCTCCAATTTACCTGACCACCAGCTATCCAACAAATTACCTTTTCACCAATTTACTTGTCTACCAATTCACCTGTCTATCAATTTACCTGTCTACCAATTTACATATCGACCTGTTTATCAGTACACCATTTTAACTGTCAACCAATTTACCTGCTTTTCAATTTACCTGTCATCCCGTTCTAAATGTCTACCAATTAACCTGTTCAATAATTTACCTGTTGAACAATTAACCTGTTTAACAATTTGTCTACTAATTAACCTATCAACCTGTTTATCAATCTACCATTTCACCGGCCTACAAATTTATCTCACATCCCGTTCTACATAACTACCAATTAAGCTGTCAATCTGTTTATTTATCTACATATTCTTCTATCTACCAGTTCTTCTCTCTACCATTTTACATATCCTCCAATTTACCTGTCTACCAGTTTACCTTTATAAATTCTCTAATTCACCTTATTTATTTACGCATTATGAACAAATTAAAGCTCAAATTGATTCCACGTTTTAGTTAGAAAACGTTTGTATGTGAAAAAGAAAAAAAACTGTTTTTAGGGTTTTCCCGGCAATTATTCGATTTTGTCTCGCTGTAAGAACCATCCTTGGACTTCAACGAACATTTTAAAAAAAAAATTGGCCAACTTAGTCAAAGCGTTGTTGAGTTATGCGCTTACCAACACATTTTGCTATCCATTTTTATATATAAGAAGATAGATATTGTGATAGACTTTATACACTTATGAAATATATTTTTATATATATATACTTGGCGTATCCAATTTACAAATTAATAGAGTTCGACTAAATTTTGGTGTTTTGTCCTATAATTATTTTATTTCAAAATTGATATTTTATAGATATCTGCAGAAAAATCAGTCGCAAATCTATTTTTCGACATTTTTTAAGTTTGTAGCATTAATTTTCACCAACTTTCTATAACATTTTATTTTCAGTTATATTGTTAATTATTAATCATAGGTGTCAGAACTCATGGTAATGACCAGCGAGTCTGTCTGCACACGGTATTTCGTGAATATGATGCTGGCCAGTAAAATACCAATGGTCATTTGTGGTCCTACCGGTACTGGAAAAAGTGCGGTTGTTCAAGATATGCTGCTTAGTTTGCCAAAAGAAAAGTTTTTACCGAATGTTATTAATTTCTCAGCACGGACTACAGCGCAAGCCGTAAGATATAATATAATTAGCCTGTATAATTATAACTGTTATATTTCGAAATTATCGAACAATAAAAATTAATTATCGACTTTGCTCAAAAACTTTAAATGCTCAATTAAAAAATGTTATGTTTAAGCTTAATTGTGATTCGAAATATAGTGTAGTAAACGGAGAGGAAAAAAGGGTAAAACCTCTGAATTTTTTTACTGTGCCCCGAATTGAATGAAATTTTGGAATTAGGTTTATCTTACCCTCAAGTTCAAAAGTGAAAACAATTCGGGTTGCGCCATCACCCCCCGGGGGGATGACACCCCTTCTCAATTGTGTAATTACATTTTTTCAAAATAACGTCGCAAATCGATTGAAGAACTATTTATAAGAAAAAAATGTCTTTTATAGTTTTTCAAAACAACTAATACTTTTCAAGTTACTGGCCACTAAAAATTCATATATTTTTGGCGTTTTTCTTCGTTTTTTGCAAATATCTCTTAAAATATACATTTTAACGAAAATCATGCAATGAAAAAAATAATGTCAATAAAAATTTTAATAAATCGGTATTACATAAAGTGTTCTAAGAAAAATATTAAGCAAGATTTGAAAGAGCAAAGACGTTTTTTATTTCGTTCAAGATTTAATTGTTGTATTTAAAGCCATCTAGTGTCGAGGTTATACATTTTATGCATTTCGGTAAAATTGGGTTTTATAGTGCTCAACATAAGCTTTAAAATGAGTGCTGTTACAAGTTTTTTGCGTGTAAAATAAGTGAGCTATCATGCAAATAAGAAGCATATACGATGGTTTTTTCTTTTAAAACATATGGTTTAATGAACGCCATTTCCACCAGAATTAAAGTAATTCACATTCCATCTAGAATTCACTTCATTATAGACATCTTGATGGATTCTAGCAGATTCACTACTTTAGTACAAACTATTTTCAGAAAACTCACGATTTTATAAAAACTTTTTTTTCCAATTTGCGCGGCCGCGCAGTCTTTAAACATTCATAACTCTGTCAATTTTTGTGTGAAAGAAAAATGATAAAAAACAATAATAAGCCAGAAAGATCCCTTTGATTTTTATCTATATGCTTTTATACGCATCTTTTATTCTTTTTGAAATATAATGAAAATAATTTCGATTTTTAAAAAAATTGGAAAAAAAAAGTTTTTATAAAATCGTGAGTTTTCTGAAAATAGTTTGTACTAAAGTAGTGAATTTGCTAGAATCCATCAAGATGTCTATAATGAAGTGAATTCTAGATGGAATGTGAATTACTTTAATTCTGGTGGAAATGGCGCTCATTAACCATATGTTTTAAAAGAAAAAAACATCGTATATGCTTCTTATTTGCATGATAGCTCACTCATTTTACACGCAAAAAACTTGTAACAGCACTCAATTTAAAGCTTATGTTGAGCACTACAAAACCCAATTTCACCGAAATGCATAAAATGTAAAACCTCGACACTAGATGGCTTTAAATACAACAATTGAATCTTGAACGAAATAAAAAACGACTGCTCTTTCAAATCTTGCTTAATATTGAAAAAATGTAATTACACAATTGAGAAGGGATGCCATTCCCCCGGGGGGTGATGGCGCAACCCGAATTGTTTTCACTTTTGAACTTGAAGGTAAGATGAACCTAATTCCAAAATTTTATTCAATTCGGAGCACAGTAAAAAAATTCAGACCTAAAACGCTCCGTTGACTGCACTAATAAACTGATGAAATATTCTTACGCAAAAAATGGTTCATATTTTTGTATCATATTTTGTAATGTTTCGCCTAATGAAAGCAGTTGTTACATATGGTATTATCAAATAGCATTTATCCAAAATTTCAGACTCAAGAATTAGTTATGTCAAAATTGGACAGGCGTCGCAGAGGTGTCTTCGGGCCCACATTAGGAAAGCAAGTAAATAGTTTTTGTAAACATAATATTTTGAATCCAATATCAGTTTAATAGAAATAACCTAATAATCCTTAAATTTAAGTTTTGAAACTAAATTAAATTTCAATTCTTCTTCGGTTAGTGCGTATTGTTCGTGGATGACTTAGGAATGCCAATGCGTGAGATATATGGCGCCCAACCACCCTTGGAATTATTGAGAACGTTGTTGGATCATGGTCATTGGTCTGACCTTCATGATACTACAAGGATTGACTTAGTTGATATCGTAAGACTAACAATTTATAAATCTCTTCATTCCACAATAAAAATCCATATTATTTCATTCCAATAGTTATTTGTATCCGCGATGGGTGTACCTGGAGGTAGCAATTATGTTGATGGTCGACTACTGAGACATCTACATATAGTTACAGTGGATTCCTTTGAAGATGCGACATTAAATAGGATTTTTGTTGCTATTATGGATTGGCACTTTGCAAAAGGATTTCTGGAAGCTGTGACTAGACTATCGAAAGTAAGTCTTATGATGTATGTAAAGAAATTTATTTATGCGCATAAGAGAACACGAATGAATAAAAAAGAGTAAACATTATTTTCTTAAACTAATGTTTTTGATGTTAAATAGATACATTAAATGCGGTGTTCTCAAACATTATTACTATTATATACTTTAAAACACAATTTTCACAATCTTTTGGTATTATTTCATTGCAGTTTCTGGTTTCTGCTACTACTGAAGTTTATCGTGCAGCAATGGCAAATTTTTTGCCAACTCCTGCTAAATGCCACTATACGTTTTCACTTAGAGATTTTGCTAGAGTAGTTAAGGGAGTTTTATTAGTACCTGCTTCAAGAATGCAAGATCCCGATAAACTGATTAGGCTATGGGTGCATGAAACTTACCGTGTATTTTATGACAGGTAAGCCCAAAATCAAAATTTTATATAAGCCCGACCAAAACTTAAGGGTCCTATAAGCTGTTGTAACTTAACTAACCCAAACAGTTGTCCCAACTAATCTTTTCAAAATATTGCTTACTGCTGAAAATGCTTACTGAAAATTAAAGTGTAAAGTTTAAATGGAAGTCAATATATCAGATGAAATCAAATAAATCAAATTTTCGAATTTGTAGTAAATTTTTCCCGAATTTGATAAGAATTCTCTCAGTTTATTTAGCTGAATTTTCTACCTATAATAATTTTCCCCAGGTTAATTGATGAACCAGATAGAGCTGCTATGTTCAAAATAGTGAAAAATGCAACCTATTCGTCATTCAGACAACATCTGGATAAAGTAGCTGCACATTTATTAGGTGAAGATGAAGTAGAAGTAGAAGACAGGCATCTCAGAGATTTGCTTTTTGGAAATTACATGTATCCAGACCAAGATCCGAAAATTTATGACGAAGTAGGTTAACTTAATATAAAAATAAATTGATGGATATAAATCTGAGACACAGAAAATCCCAACTGATTTTTTTAATTTTTTTTATAAATTTAAATTTTAAACAAAATATTCGAAATATGATACATTATTTATTGCGGCTCGATAAATTACCAACTTCATTACTCTAAATCTACCGTTTCAAAAAACTATTGGTTTGTGTTTATTACTTCTTTTTTCAAAATGCTTGATTTTGATCAAATGTAAGTGATTTTTCTTAATATAAATATTTGGTTATGGCAGGTCCAAGACTTGGATGATATGTACGATAAAATGGTGTATTATCTTGGGGAGTATAATGCATTGTCCAGCGCTCCTATGAATTTAGTACTATTCAGATTTGCAATGGAACACGTATCTAGAGTTTCTAGAGTTTTACAAGTGCCCCAAGGACATGCCCTCATGGTGGGAATTGGTGGCAGTGGCAGAAAAAGTGCGGTTAAATTGGCTGCTAGCATTGCCGAATGCACTCTGTTTCAGGTCTGTTCAAGTAAGTAAAATATTTTTTTTATATATTAGTAATTATGGTTAATGCTTTTTTAATAGATTGAAATCTCACGTAACTATGGTATACCTGAGTGGAGAGATGACATGAAAAAGTTGATTATGAAAGCAGGAAATGAAGGAAAACCTATTGTATTTTTATTCAATGATATGCAGGTATATAACAATTGATTGTTTTATTCAATATTTTCCATAGATTTGATTTTGATGCAAGTACTAAGTGTTATAAAACCATTGATTCTTAGATAAAAAATGAAATGTTTATAGAAGATATAAACGCATTACTAAATACAGCAGATCTACCTAATTTATTCCAATCTGAAGAAAAAGCTGAAATTTTGGAGAAAATGCAAGTAGCAGCTAGAGCGGCGGTATGTATATAGTGGACAATTTATTGAAGTGGTATCAGCTATCAATTTGCTCTAAACTAAAAAAAGTTGCTACTGAATATGTTCTATATATTTTATTATCATGTGTTACATTTCTCTAACTAATTAATTGATCTATACAGGGTCGACAAATTGAAACAACGCCCTTGGCATTATATGCATTTTTCATTGAAAGGGTTAGAAATGCTCTTCATGTATTATTAGCGCTGTCTCCAATAGGAAATGCTTTTCGAATCCGCATAAGAATGTTTCCTTCATTGGTCAATTGTTGTACCATAGATTGGTAAGATCACACAAGTTGAAAATATTTACTTAAAATTAAATTTTTATTAAATTGCAAATTAGGTTTAAAGATTGGCCAAAAGATGCTTTGGAAAGAGTTGCTTTAAACTTTATTGCGCCGATGGATCTTGGGGAACACGTAACAGATGCTTGTGTGAATATGTGTCAATTGTTTCATTTGAGTATGGCCGAGGCTAGTACGCAGTAAGTATATTTACATTGTAAAAAAAATCTTTTTCAAAAGAACATTCGTATCGGTTTAGCATGCACACCAAAACATGGCAGATATCCATGCATACATTGTGCATACATACATACAAAAGGAATGTGGAAAAAATGATCAGTTCTTGAATCGTGCAGATATTAAAAAATGAAAAATTATTTGTAATTAAATTCATTAAGAAGTGACAATTTTAATCATTTTTATTACAGAATGTTTGAAGAACTACATAGAAAAACTTATATAACCCCAACTTCTTACTTAGAATTAATCAAAGCATTTCAAGGTCTTTATGGAGCTAAAGTTGCAGAAATAGTTGAAGGAAGAGATAGGTAATAGCGAAATTATTTATTAATTGATATGGGCAATTAATCCATATTAGTTGTCTCAATTATAAAAAATATCTTCCATTCATTAGGTATATTAATGGGTTGGCTAAGTTAGACTTTGCAGCAGGTCAGGTTGGTTTAATGCAAGACGAATTGCATGCTCTGCAACCGCAGCTAGTAGAAACTTCTGACAAAACAGAGAAATTGATGGTTAAAATCGAACAGGACACTGTCATTGTTGAAAAACAAAAAGAGGTATTGTAGTATATAACAATAATATCTAAACCGTAACTTATCAAATAACTTAACATTTTAAATCTTAAGATTGTTGGCGCAGACGAAGCTCTTGCAAACGAAGCAGCAGCTGCTGCTCAAGCTATAAAGGACGATTGCGAATCTGATCTTCAAGAAGCAATACCAGCTCTTAACGCAGCTTTGGAAGCACTTGATACTCTTAAACCTGCTGATATAACAGTGGTTAAATCCATGAAAAATCCTCCAGCAGGTGTTAAACTTGTTATGGAAGCCATTTGTGTAATGAAGGGAGTCAAACCTGAGAAAAAGCCAGAACCAGGTGCCATTATAAATATTTTTTTTAAATATCTGTATGTAACATTTTTCTTTGTTGTGAAGAAAATTCTATAAATCGTTTCGAATAGGTACTGGTAAAATGATTGAGGATTATTGGGGACCATCACTAAAAATTTTGAGTGATATGAAATTTTTAGAAAGTTTGAAAACTTTTAATAAAGACAATATACCCGAAGCGACAATGAAGCGCATCAGACAAAAGTAAGTACATTATTATATTTAAATTCAATCGTGAATACATTAATTCTATCGTCGTAAACAATCAAGATTCATTCCCGATCGAGATTTTGAACCTGATGTGATAAAGAATATTTCTACCGCTTGTGAAGGATTGTGCAAATGGGTGCGAGCTATGGATGTCTATGATCGTGTTATTAAAATTGTAGCACCAAAAAAGGTGAATAGAAAACATCATGGGTCCTTTCATTGAAAAATAGTAGCCATTTTTCGCATAACAACTTTTTTTTTGTTATATACAGGCCGCACTGGCTGAGGCAGAAGCTTTGCTGGCTGCGCAAATGGAAGTGTTAACTCAAAAAAGGGCACAATTACAAACTGTAATGGATAAATTGCAAGCTTTGAATGACGAATTTGCAGAGTTTTCCAAGAAGAAAAAAGAATTAGAAGATCAAATTGACATATGCGAAAAGAAATTGGACAGGTTTTTAAATTATTAAATTATTCTTGTTAAATATTAATAATATTGGTTTCCGTAATACATACTGTTGCATTTATCCGTTAAAACATAGCATTCACATTAAAATTATAATTATATCATTTATGTGGAAAAGTATGTGAATATGAGGAGTATATTATCAAATCTAAACAATAGCTGATCTAAAATAACAATTTCAGAGCTGAAAAGTTAATTGGTGGCTTAGGGGGCGAAAAAGCGAGATGGAGTAATACAGCAGACACACTAAATAGCTCTCTTGGAAATATAGTTGGAGATGTTTTACTAGCTGCAGGTGCTGTGGCCTACTTTGGACCTTTCCCTGTTAATACAAGATCGAGATTGGTTAGGATGTGGAATGATAAATGTTTAAATCTTCGTAAGTTATTGATGAAAATGTTATTGATATTTCGAATGAAATATTACGCATAATTTTGCCGTTATAAATTTATAATATATGGGTTGCCTCTTCTTCAGAAACTCTGAATATTGAAACCAATTTCTACACTCTCACCAAAAAACAAATTGCACCTTCACCAATGAAAAAGTCGTGTTATTCTATAATATAAAACATAATTCTATCTCATAAATCTGAGAATGATTGGATCTTGAGGATTAATTAGATTCATATTATTTTTTCTAATTAGGGATTCCCTGCTCTGAAATCTTTACATTATGGAATACCTTAGGCGAAGCAGCTGCTGCTAGAGCCTGGGGATTAGCAGGTCTACCTGTTGATGCATTTTCTATAGACAACGGAATAATTGTTACTCACGCTAAAAGATGGCCTTTGATGATTGATCCACAAGGTATTGAGATGCGATTCAAATTAGATTCAATTTCAAATTAGATCATGCCATATCAAAAATTTGGAGAAAGATAATTGAAATCCAACAATTGTGCATGATACTGTCTAGCTTGTGACTTATCATATTATGTTTAATTTTAACACTTTGTTGACCGGTCACAAGTTAACTCGTGTTCTTATGGCCGAATGTTGCTGATCAAATCACGAATAAACTCGTAACTCGCTTTTTTGTCGCACCGCTGTTGTTTTCTCAATTGGCGACCGTACAATGCAGTTGCCAAAGCGGGTCCCAAATCTTTTGGTGTAATATAGAAATAGCCGGTAACAAAGTGTTAATATTGGGTTGGGGAAAAGAAATCCATTATTTTTACGTGAACTTCAAGATTTTATTTAACATGTTTTGCTTTGTCCGATTTAGGTCAAATATTCACCATTTTGTTCTATAATTTGTTGCCATTTTAATGGTAGCTTCATTATGCCTCTCTCATAAAAGTCTTGTTGCTTGTTAGCGAAAAACTCCAGCAATTGATTTTCACACTCTTCCCTTGATGCCAATTTCTTATCACTAAAAAAGTTTTGCAATGCAAGAAGCTACCATTAAAATGGCAACAAATTATAGAACAAAATGGTGCATATTTGACCTAAATCGGACAATGCAAAACATGTTAAATAAAGTCTTGAAGTTCACGTAAAAATAATGGATTTCTTTTTCCCCAACCCAATATGTTTTGCAAGCTAGTTAATTTATCTCATTCTAAAGTTTTCTATATTATTTTTAATATTATATTTTCCATTCACCTAGGTCAAGCAAATAAATGGGTTAAGAATATGGAGAAGGATAACTTTCTGCGTGTCATTAAATTAACAGACTCAAATTATATGAGAGTAGTAGAAAACTCGATTATACTGGGTCAACCTGTTCTACTTGAAAATATAGGTAAACGTTATTATTCTAATGAATGTGATGATTGTGATATATAAAATATTTTAATTTTCACGTATCTTTCATTATTTTCAACTCTTTTCAACAGGGGAGGAAATAGACGCTGCCTTGAGTCCAGTTTTAGAACGAGCAGTATTTGTTCTGCGCGGCCAAACAATGTTAAAGCTGGGTGATCAAGTTATTGAATATAACAGCGCATTCAAATTTTATATCACAACAAATTTAAGAAATCCTCATTATTTACCCGAAACACAAGTCATGGTATACACCCATTCTTAAACCTATGGCCTCCTTCTTTAAAATATATCTTTATTTCATCCTTCAAACTTTTTATATTTATTTATTCATTGTTATTATATATTTTGCAAGAAATCTTTAGCCAAACTATAAAATATTCTAGGTCACTCTACTGAATTTTATGATAACTCAACAAGGCCTACAAGATCAATTACTAGGCACAGTCGTCGCTAGAGAAAGGCCAGATTTGCAAGCAAAGAAAACTCAGCTAGTTATCGAATCAGTTCAAAATAAAGATATGCTACAAAATATTGAGGAACAGATTTTAAAGGTTTTTGATTTACTCTAAATTTTTGTGCCTTATTAAACGTGATTCAAAATAAATTGATTATTTAGGTGTTGTCTACGTCTCAAGGCAATATTTTAGAAGATGAAACAGCAATTAAAATTTTATCATCTAGTAAAATATTATCTGAAGAAATTCAAGCAAAACAAGAGGTTTGAATTCTTTAAATTAATTTTTCTGGTAAATATAAATAAACTATGCAACATATCTATTATAGATCGCAGCAGTTACTGAAAAAGAAATAGATTATGCTCGAAATCAATACACATCCGTATCAACCCATTCTGCAAATCTATTTTTTTGCCTGACAGAGTTGGCAAACATTGATCCAATGTACCAATATTCTTTAACATGGTTCTTACATTTATTCAATCAAGCTATCACAAACTCGGAAGAAAGTTCAGTTTTAGAATTACGTTTGAGTTACCTGAATAACTACTTTACTATGAGTATATACCGAAATGTCTGCAGAAGTTTATTCGAAAAAGATAAACTAACGTTTTCTTTTGTGCTGTGCGTTGGCATTATGCGATCTAAGGTAAATTAAATTTAATTAAAAAATATTGCAAATTTTTAAAATTATCTAATTTCAGAATTTAGTGGAAGAAGATTTATGGGCATTTCTACTCACAGGCGGAGTTGCCTTGGATAATCCATATCCAAATCCTGCTCCAGAGTGGTTAACTGAAAGAGCCTGGTCAGAAATTGTCCGCTCCACACCTTTAACTCAGTAATTGTTTTATATCTATTATGATTATGAAAGATTTGACCAAGTCGTTTACAAATTAACTAAAGAACTAATATTTCTACAAGAATGATATTATGTCATGTTATAAAATTTAGAATATGTACTGTGATTTGCACGGTATAGCAGGCGCTGTCAATAATTCGGTTTGATTATTTAAAAGCATATGTAAAACCAAGAGTGAGAGTTTTTAAATAAGTTCTATTGACATGTAAAGCAGATAAATTATTCATTCTCTTCATTGAAGTCCAAAAGTTTCTATCTCAAATAATATTAATGACTAACTATATTGTGAAAATTTTTGTAAGCTAACGTTAATGTATTTTATTTCATCACAGTTTAGGCGCATATCGAAATAGCGTTGCTACAAATGTGAAAGCTTGGTACCAATATTACAATTTATCAAATCCTCATGAGGTACAATTTCCTGCACCTATGCACGATCTTCCAGGATTGGCTAGGCTGGTGGCTCTAAGATGTATCAGGCCTGATAAAATTGTACCAGCAGTACAGGTAAAGATTTCTACAGATAACCTTATTCCCAAAAAGCTATTTATGTCAAAATTAGTTTTGATATTTTTCGCATAAATAATTAAACTTTATAATAAATGACACAAAAAATTGTTTTAAAGAATTTTATAGTGGAGTATATGGGAAGATCATTCGTCGAACCTCCGGTATTTGATTTAGTTTCTTCATACCACGACAGTAGTCCGAGTACTCCTTTATTGTTTGTGTTGAGTCCAGGATCAGACCCAATGGCCGGGCTGATGAAATTTGCTTTAGACATGGGAATCGAAGGGGAAGCTTTGCAGACAATTTCATTAGGTAAACTTTTAGTCATGCTATTCCACCAATAAATGATTGAAATTATAATAATATCTAGTTATATTAATATAATTCAAAAAAAAATCTTTTGCTTCATCCCTATTACTTATATCAGTAATATAATACAGTTATAGTTGCTAACGTACATATTTAAACTATTTTTGATTTCAGGACAAGGGCAAGGGCCAATAGCATATTCCATGATAACAAAGGGTTTATCTGAAGGCCATTGGGTAGTTTTGCAAAATTGCCATTTAGCAGAAAGTTGGATGAGAGATTTGGAACGAATTTGCGCTGATGTTGTCGTACCAGAGGCAGCCCATCCGAGATTTAGGCTGTGGTTAACATCTTACCCAAGCAAAGCATTTCCAGTTTCCATATTACAGAATGGTAATAAATTGAAATTAATTCTAACTTCTGAATTGAAGTGAATGAAATTTTAAAGAATGAATTGAAATGAATTCTGCTTTGAAGAACATATTTTTCATCTTTAATATCAAATATTTTAAATAAACTAAATTCTTCCAAATATAGGAAAAGTAGCTAACTTAACCATTTATGTAATTAGTCAAGATGGTTACAAAGATCGTGAATTGCTAAATTAAATTTCATTTTTTGAATAGTAGTGCATTATAATTATGGAAATACTGATTTAGTTTGAAATTTTAGGCGTTAAAATGACAAATGAAGCGCCAAAAGGATTGAGACTAAATATGTTAAGGTCTTACACAACTGATCCTCTATCTAACGAAACGTTTTTCAACAACTGTCCATTGGTAATCCATTTTTTAATCTTCATAATATCCTCCATCTATAAAATGTATGTTTACTTATTTTTTATTATGTATACAGATAAGTCCTTGGCAAAGATTATTATTCGGTTTGGTGTTTTTCCATGCTATGATTCAAGAACGAAGGCAATATGGTCCACTAGGATGGAATATTCCTTACGAATTTAACGAGAGCGATTTGAGGATATGCGTTATGCAATTACAGGTAAGCTTGTAATGAAATATTGTCAAAATCGGAAATATTGCATTTTTTCTTCATATTTTACAACTATTGTTTCTAGATGTTTTTAACAGATTATGGAGATGTTCCTTTCGATGCTCTTCTTTATTTAACAGGTAACATTTGCAATAATAAATTTATTTATTCATAATCACGTATTATCAATTAATTTTAGGAGAGTGTAATTACGGTGGCAGAGTTACAGATGATAAAGACAGAAGACTTTTAAACTCCTTGCTAGACATTGTCTATTGTCCAGATACAGTAAATAATCCCAAGTAATTTATTTGACACTATAATATCTTTAATTTATATGACTATACATATATAAGGGGGCGTCGATTAATCACGTGAGGGGAGGTTATATAATAATTACGAAATATCAAAAATTTTACTATTTTTTCTCGTAACTAAAAATACACGTGATGTTTGGTGGGGGATGGGGTAATTTTGAATATCACCACGTATCACCAACAAGGAGGGGAGGTCCAAGAATCCTTAAAAAATTAATCACGTGATTAATGGACGACCCCTAATATATAAAATATATATGATTACAAGCTTATATTATAATTGAGACAAAATACTGAATAATCAATATACAATAACAAAGCTATTGAAAATTGAACAAAATATGTGTAGTTATTTGGAGTAGTTGCCTTTAAATCTATTTTTAATTTCAATATTATTGGAAATATTTATTAAATTAAATATAACATATTTCTTTGTTAATATAGGTATACATTTTCTCCGAGTGGGATATATAAAGTTCCAGATGATACGACAAGACAAGGATGCATTGAATATATAAAATCTTTGCCTTTAACACCTCATCCTGAAGTATTCGGTTTACATGAAAATGCTGATATTACCAAAAACAACCAGGAAACTGCCGGGGTAATTTTTATATTAATATATTAAAGGATTCACAATAATAAAGTAATTGCTATTTTTAGTTTTTTAAGATTTGTTAGAGATATCCAAATCTCTTAATATTTTTTTAAAGTTTCATCTCATGTTTTACTTATCACAGATATTTAATATTTGCCCATTTCAATGATGATAATTGATTTTTCAAGTATCGAAATATACATTTGAAATTTTCTGAATAATAGTTAGAAATTAAATAATTAGAAGTGTTTACCTATTCGAAAACAATGAAAACTTCTTATATCCCTTAATATGGAAATAGAATTCAAAAATTGATTAAGGTAGGACTTTCAGTAATTATACTATTTTCTAAACCAAATGAACTACACCACAATAAATAACACGTATCTAATAAACAACTATCGAACTATGTTCAGTAAAAATCGCAGCTAATTTATTATTTTAGAAATATGTTTTCTTAGTATTCGCTTAAAATTTTCCATCTGTCTTTTTTTACCCCATAGGCTAGGTAAAAAGGGACAGCCACCGAAAGAAAAGCTACAAATACGTTTTTAATTTTAAAGAAATTTTGCCAATGCAAATAAAAAAATATATGAACATTTAAAACTTTACTTTACTTTATGAACATTACTTTTTTATGGATTTTCAAACATTGCCATTTATATCCTGATAGCGACGTCGTAAGAATCAAGCTGATGGCTGGTTATCTTTTGCCTTCTACTCGAATATTGTATCAAAATTTTCATACTTTACTTATTTTGAGATAATGGTGATGGATCCGCGGACCTTTAAGCACCGCTCTACCCTATTAATCTTCATTAGTTTTTTCAAAAGTAACCAAAAACTATTGGTGTGTGGCATCGTGCCTTAAGGAAAATTACTGGAACTTCCCGTACCGTAACGAAATGTTTGAGGAATATTAAATGTTTATTAAACAGATTATTATAAATTCTGTAATATCGTCAAATATTTATAAGAATTATATAAACTAAATTACAAAGTTAAAATTATTCACTTAAAGTATATAAGTGAGCTTTAGAACTTTAACCAGAATTAAAACTGAAATCTGAATTATTCTCGATATTCAAAAAAAAAACGGATATATATTTCTCTCAAAAACTGCAATTTTTTGCACATTTAGCTCTGTATCTTCTAAATGGGTGGACCTGCCTTTGCCAAAAACTAATCACCACTTCTGCCAATAATAACAAATTGATTGTTTTTTAGATGATTTAAATCGGATGCTCCGTTCTCTCAAAAACTTGATTTCTATTTTCTGCAATCTTTGCTCCATATCTCCGAAACGGCAGGACCTGCCTTTGCCGAATGTTTTTTGAACCATTCAAATCGGTTGATCCGTGCGCCCGAAAACGTGAACAAAAAAAATGCGGACACACAAAACACACACCCACACATCCATTTTTTCTGAAGAATGCTAAAATGTTCAGAAACCTCTGAAACGTGAAGATATGCAAAAATTTTCATTTTCGATTTTCGGCCCATTACTATAACTACCCTACGGGAAGTTAATTATGTGCTTTTATATTCAATAAATTTTTGAATATCGCCAAGGCGGAAATGAGGGTCCAAAAACCTTAAATACCGATCACGTGATTAATGGACGGTCCCTTGATTATGAATATTTCTACTTTATATAAAAAATTAGATATATCTATACCTTATATCTACATATTCTTTGCAATTTTGCTAATTATTACGTTTTTCGCTTAATTTTAGTTATAAGAGCAACAAATGTAAATTATTATCAATACCACAATATTCTGGTATAAGTCTTAATTAGACATTTTTGCATTGAGCTGAGCATTGATACGATTTTTTGAAGACACTTTTCTTAACTTTGATTTAAAAACATGTAGTTAGCATCCAAACTTATGTTGTATTATCAATTCATGTGCATGGATTTTTTTTAATCAACATTATTAGTGCTGAAATAATAGTTTTCTTTTAGCATAAATGAAATGTCTGAAATTGTGGAGCGCTTTAGTCATTCCACTAATGCTAAAAGAAAACTATTATTCTTATAATATAAGTTTTCAATAATACAAAGGGATCCCTTTGTTCAAATCAAAATAACAAACACATCTGTCTTCAAGTTGTAAATTTGACATTTTGTGATTGCTTTAGAATAAATACAAGTCCAACATTGTACTGTCGTCTGTCGTTCAATGACTATCACAAATAAGACAAGAATTCAAATATTAAGATTCTGTTTGGAATTTGAATGAATAAGTTCACTTGTATTCGTTAATAATTCATTTTTCGAATAAATTATAGCAACGGACTCCGCTCTTGAGTACGCCCATTGTCAGCCATAATTCATTTAAAAAAATAATGAAAATAAAATGTCTTACCTTTAAAGCCCTTTGAGAAATCAATTCCTTCTCCTGGTATCATTTGTTTTGGACCAATTTTGGATCTCTTCAATCGGTTTCAAAAATGTACAGTAATTTCAAATGTTCATCCCAACGAAGATTTCACTTAGATAATAGATAATAAATTATCCTATATATGTAATGTTGGATTTGTTTTGTTTCCACTGAATGATGGCGCGAATCTAACGTCAAAACGTAAAGAATAAATAAATACCCAATCACTTGTTAAAAATAATCACTATTATTCTTATTTGATTCTGATTGTTGTTATTTCATATTGCATATCATATTTTTTATTATTTTTATCACAAATAGCACTAAATTAAAGAATAAATATTAATAAACATTTTTTTAAATGTACACATATCACAAACGATTAGACCAACTGAACTGAACATAACCTCAACCCTAGACAATATTAAATGACAGGTTGTGTTGAATCTTGAAATGGTTTTTGATTAACAATATTTATTATTAAATGATGCAACTGCTGATAGTAAAAATGCATCAATGTACGTATAATTAAATTTTGACTTTTTTATTTGAATTTATAAACTTGTTAAAAATATACAAATATATTTAGCTTCTCAAAGGAGTTCTTCTTACTCAAACGCAATTAACGGCGGGAGGAGGTGCTGGCGAAGGCCTATCAGTTGCAGATTTAGCGAAGGATATTCTAAATCGATTACCACCTGACTATGATGTTGAAGCAGTTTCTGAAAAATATCCTGTTATGTACTCAAACTCAATGAATACAGTTCTACGTCAGGTAATTAAAATAGCAATTTTTTTATCGTATTATTAACTCATAAGCATTCTGAACTCATAAATAAACTATAGCATATTTTAAAAATATTTGTATTATTTAGGATGAAACTTGATTTTGACTGGACATTCATGAAACTGAAAATATTCTTCAATATGCTGTTGTTTATTTAATTATTTATATTTTAGGAGTTGATAAGATTTAATCGATTGATAGTTGTGATTCGACAAACATTAATTGATGTTGGGAAAGCTGTTAAAGGACTTTTAGCTATGGTTGGTGAATTAGAGGAAGTTCATGGATCTTTGTTAACAGGACGAGTGCCAAAAACGTGGGCTTCTAAATCTTATCCCTCACTTAAACCTCTAGGTGGCTATATTAATGATTTACTGATAAGGTGACTATGTTTATAAATATGTTTATAAATAAGCAAGCAGGTTGTTAGAAAAATGTGTATACAACATATGACATATCATTGATTATCTAAATCATTGTTTCAAATATTTTAATTGAGTATTTTATTTTATTAAAAGAAACTAATCTATGATCTTTATATATGCATTTAATAATTATTGTAAATATAAAACATTGAGAATTATCTTCTTTGTCAAGCAGTAGTAAAATAGGAATGTAGGAATATGAAGGCTGCAGTGGAAATTTGCTAGATATATATATATATATATATATATATATATATATATATATATAAACTTCTACAACATTTTTTTGTAATTTATCAGGCTAAAGTTTCTTCAGAACTGGATAGATGAAGGACCTCCTAACGTCTTTTGGTTATCAGGATTTTTCTTCACTCAATCATTTTTAACGGGCGTTTTGCAAAACTATTCGCGTGGTAATAAGTTGCCAATTGATCTGGTTGGACTTGATTTTGACGTAACAGAATATGAAACTGAATGTAAGGAAGAACCGGCAGTTGGTGTTCTAATTAATGTAAGAAGTGTTACAAACTTCATTAAATAATAAGTAATATGATTAGGTTTCAATGAACCTACAAATAAATTGAATTTTTTATAACATGCAGCAAGGACAATTAAAAGAAATACATAGTGTTTATTATGACGTAAGTTACAGATAAAAAAATCAAATATTTTGCATGGATACAGTATGACTAAATTGCTACTTTTCTAAATATTTGCTAGTTATTGAAAATGCAAGCATTTATAAGTTTAACATATTCATTTTACTATATATAAATATTATATAGGGTTTGTTTATGGAGGGAGCAAGATGGGACAGAAAACGAAAAATGCTTGGAGAATCTTTGCCAAAAATATTGTTTGATGTTATTCCTATAATGTGGTGCAAGCCTGGAGTTAAAGGGAAAAAAAGTAATATCGTTGATTATATAATGATTATGGAATTTAAAATAAAATTGATCTTTTGGTAATATTTAATAATAATATATAAATTTCATTTTAATTATTAGATATTTAATTAAATCTTACATTGTTTAAAAATGTATTAAGTGAGAAATTTTGTATTATTATTATTATTATTATTATTATTATTATTATTATTATTATTAATACTGAATATATTTTTAGCTTCTAATGTCTACAATTGTCCTGTTTATAAAACAAGTGAAAGAAGAGGTATTCTTTCTACAACTGGTCACTCAACTAATTTTGTAATGTTTACTGATTTTCTTTCTGATCAGCCCCAATCACATTGGATAAATAGGGGTGTTGCTTGTCTTTGCCAATTGGACGACTGAATTAAAAATGTACATATATTATATTAAAATATGTTTATTTAAGATATAATAAATCATGAGCAAAATTACATAAAACTTAGTTTTCATATATATTTTTTTAACATAATTTTGTAAAATTACTTGCATTGATCTGTGATGTCTTCAATTATTGTATTGTCTGAAGATAAATTTGTGATAACATAAAGATTATCTTTATTAACAACATCGGAATTTGAGTTGTATTGATTTCCTTCCTCTGGATAACTCGGAGTTTGATACACATAGCTAGCAGGATCAGGAGAATAAGTTTGATATGAACTTTCATTACAATTATTTTGTATTTTGACAGTTTTAGTTGTTGTAGTGTGTGTCGTACACTTTTTACTTAAGTTAGTCTTTATTTGCTTCTTCTCTGATTCCATTATTATTGTACATGGTGGATTACCTACGTCGCCTGCAGTGCCTGTATATTTATTTATGGCATTGCAAGTGCTTGCTGAATATGAATTATTTTGATAACAATTGTATAAACTTGGAAGTACAATTTGCTGAACTGGTGCCAATGTTAAACAGTAAGTTCCATTACTTTGTTGTGAAGGATAAGAATACACTGATTGATTTCCGACAGGAATTTGTGGAGAGTAGTAATTATTTATTTGAGAACTGCGTGGACTTATAGCATTCAGTCTATTTATTTGAGAACTGCGTGGATTTAGAGCATTTAGTCTATTTATTTGAGAACAGCGTGGATTTAAAGCATTTAGTCGAGCCTTATGCAATCTTTTCGAAATACGCGAATCAATGTTTTTAAAAGAGCATAGACAATCTTTTATTTTCAAACGTTCTGAACATTTTGTGCAATATATTTCTTCAGCTGTATTTACACCTATACTTCTTTTACTCACGTTATTTTCTTCCTTTGCAATACTATCTGGTAGATCTAAGTAATTACTTTGCTCCATCTTATATAAACCATTTAAATACTTGAAATTTTGAATTTTTATCAAATGTGACGCAGATGGTAAAGCGTTTCGTATTTTGTTTTTGAATTTTGAAACTCGCGCGCCGGATACGGAGCGAGCTCGAATCATATGTCACGTGGTAATTTGCTTTATGTAACTTGTTTACGAGGCAGAACAACAAATAGAAAATAATGGCGGAATATTGACTGAACGTGCACTAATGTAATGAGTGACATGTGTTTTTTTTCAATATATTGACGAGTGATAATAATTGTGTTATATTATATAATATGGATTCGTTTTTCATTGCAATTGAAGATAATATATTAACATTAAACTTATTGCTATACTTAATAAAAAAATTTAATAGCTTGTTATTGTATTAGTAGACCAACCCTACTAATTTTCATAGTCTAAAATAAATGTTGATAAATTTACGGTATTATTTATAAATAAACAAATTATCATATAATATTAAGTTTTTATCCTTTCTTGTCGAGAAGTGAAAACAAGTGTTGTGTAAGCCCTAGTCAGAAGTGTGTAGTGTATGTCCAAATTTCCAAATGTCCCAATATCCAAGAATTCACGAAAGCGATGCCTTGGCCTTGCTGGCATTGAAATCGGCCCCAGCAAGTCCGTCCAAGCTCCAATGGAGCCCCGAAAATAAGGGCACGGTAATCGCGAGGCTAGAAGGACGCGAGTTCGAGTATTTAGTACGACAAAAACACATAGTTATCGGTCGGAATTCGAGTAGAGGCGAAGTTGATGTTAATATGGGACATTCTAGTTTTATTTCGAGGAGACATATAGAAGTATTCTTCGAGCACCCCACGTTTTTAATGACATGCAATGGAAAGAACGGTGTGTTTGTGGATGGTGTTTTTCAGCGAAAAGGAGCCCCTGCATTACAGTTACCGAGGACGTGAGTATGATAGTTGCATTGTGTTGATTTTTGTTTTAAAAAAATTACGCGAATAATAATTCATAACCTCAAAATATTTTGATGTGACGTCATTGCTTGTATTGATCTCGAAGCCGCGTTGGGTCACGTGATCCTTGACGCAGTTTTAGGTTAGAATAATCAAAACAACAACATTAGAATGTTAAAATCATGTTTGCATGTGCGTATTGTCGATTACATTCTATGTGTTTCCCATATGTTTAACTAAACACATTACAAACGTTAAGTCAATAGCCTTAGTCTATTATTGCTCGTGTATCGTTTTGTTTTGAACAAGATATTAGGAAATGAAAACTATGCGAATGGGCATTGTCGGAATCCGAGTCGAAGAGCTCAGAATAAGCTCGAGTTCTCACTTTCTCTCGTAATAATGTTCAATGTGCATGTATTTCCAATTTGAATACAACGTACAATCGGCCTCTGCTGCGTGTAATACAAATCGATATTTGGGAATGCTTTTTTAGAAGGGTATCTCGACGGACGCGAAAGTGAATACATTGTAACATGCTTTAATGAAACTTATGCTGCCTATTCGGTACAACATTTCAATGAAAAAAATCTTGCACAACCATTAATAAGTAAATTTTTATTCACGTCGAAAATTTTGTTTTCTACATAAAAATGGACAATATTAAAAATTGCCAAGTACCACTTCTTGAAAAGTTCAAATATATTGTACAAATTTCATTGGAAGAACTTTTTCTTGAAATTACTTATCATCTATTATCTATATTACTGCTATTGCTGCTCTTAAAACGATTTACAATAAACGATTTCAAATTGTAAGTCTGATATTGATTACTATTAAAATATGACATTTATCTCAATTATTTTTCTATTAATTTCATTTTCAGAACTACTGTAGTTTATATAAAATATCCCAAATGTCTTCGAAAGACTAAGTAAACTGTTCAGACACTGTTATGTAGATGAATCTCTGCAATCGATTTTAATAATGAAATAATAAATTTTATATCATTTTACTCTGTTATATGTATATATTATTGAGGTTTTTTCTTCGACGTTGAAACAAATACCGAAAACCTTAGCAGCCAATATGTCTAGTATAAAATAAGAAATATACTATACACGTTATATTGCAATTTTATATGGTTTAATAATTGTCCTTTGTAATTCCATCAAATAAACTAGTCATTCCATCAAAAATTTGACTTTTGTGCTGTGCAGTTTTATTTACTTTGCTATATAGTTAAATTTCTGAAGGAGGTATTAGAAAATGATTCGATGTAAATATTGCTTACATTTGTACCCCAGCTGTCGCACTATGCCGCTTGTAGCAAACGGTCTGCCTAGCAACAGCGTTTCGGTGCGAAGAATATCTAAATGGCAAAGCGGTGTGGTGGTACCGTTTACCAGTGTAGGACACGTGCGATTTATCAAACTGGGCTCTGTGTTTACACACGGCGAAACGATTGTGTGCGTGTGTAAACAAATTGCGTTGGTTTTTAGTTACCTATCATAATTACTTAGTCTTATGCTATCTTCATGTTTTGGCTAAGAGATATATTCATTAAATGGAAACAGTAATTGATATATTAAAGTTTTTTTTTTTTAATTTTATTTAATTTTTATTTGAACACCAATCAGAACTAATGTGTTCTATGAGCTGTTGTAAGATCTTACAAACTACGTTTGTTTTATTACAGATGGGAACCCAAACAGTTGTCACATCTCTGTATGATAAATTTTTATTACAATCTCTCTAATAGGGCAAGTATGGTGCAACAATGCCGGGTGAGGGCTATTTTCACTTGGAAACATATTGCTATCATATATTTCCAAGTGAAAATCGTTGTCACTGTTGCCTGACAACAGGCTGCTCAAAGTGGGTATCGAACCCGGGACCTCTGAAACAAGTCCCGTCGCTCTTAACCGCTTACCTACGGGCGAGCCCAAATTGATAAATTAAAGATTTTTTAAAGTTTTTTATTAAAATGTTACATCTCATTTGGTATTGGTTCTTCATTTTATTTTTTCTCATTTTGCTTGAAAAATATAGCACAAATTTAAATGTAAGCACATGAGATTTGATGTTTTTATTTCGAAGACCAAGATTTTTGAAGGCTATATAGTTTAGTTTTTGAAAACATGTGTTCTGCGAATTAGCGCAATTCTAATAACTAGTTTTTTAGTACATTGAGAATACCGCCTTCCCACGTTTCGGTAGTATAGTGTATTTCATACTACTAAAAATAGTAGCTTTGGCTCATGCGCGTTCTCACAAGGACACGAAAGATATAAATAATATATGTGTATTATTGTTTGTATATTATTCTATATATGTTAGTTACTTTTTCTGAAAATATTTTCCTCATTGCGACGTCCACAGTGGCGCACTAAAAAATCTTTAGGAAGTAGCTAAATTTATTTCTTTATATACACATGTATATATAGTAACTATTTATGTATTTATAATGCAATTTATGTAGTACAAGTGATTCTCGAAATTATCTTGATTTATGATAAGATTTTGGCAGATGCATAGACGTGCATACTTACATAACAGGATCTATTTAGATCCTTCAACCACTAATGATCTAACTAAAACCGTCTCTCAAAGTCTTGCTTGAATGTTATTGTTAATTCGGTGCAACAAATCAGAAAACATCAATAATGTTCAATGAGATCATCTCTTATAAGCAATAACATTCTGAAGTATTGAATCAGCATATCTTAATGAAAATTGGAACTCTTCAACTACATTTCATATGTTCACCAATATCTAAATATAACTTGATTAATAACTAAATTTATCACATTATTTTATATGCTTCATATACTTACTTCATATGCTTTTTTTAATATACTTAATCCTATTTTTAAAAAAATAATTTTCAGTACTAGTTCTAGCAATTTGCTTTAAGGCACGATGCCATGCATCACTACTTTCATCCTTAACCAGTAAACTAAATAGAAAAAAAA